CCTATGAGGAGCAAGCACTAGAGGACCAGCTTACTCAGGAGCAGTTCGATAACGAGTTAGAAAATGATCTAGAAGTGATACTTACTCATGAGCAGTGTGATGAGGAGGAAGGGGGAGCAGAAGGAAGAGCAGGAGAGGAGGAGAGGATGCTGAAGACGAAGAAGAAGAGGATGATGATGAAGAAGACTCAGAAGAGGGATATGTAAGTCCCGAGGATCATTTTCCACGTGAATCCAGAAGGAGGCTAACGGAGAAAGATTTGGACAAGGATTTTGACCCGAATGAGGAGGTAGGGATAAAGCCTTAGCTTGTAAATTTTGCTAAAGCTTTGGCTGTGTTACCTCTGCTAACACTTTGCAGCCTGTTCGGTCGGCTGGTTCATATCGTTGTTGGTTCGTGAAGAAGTACTACTGGCTGGTTTATGTGAGAGAAAAATACTGTTCCGGCTGGAAATTTACGATCGTTTACAACAAGTCACAGCCAAACGAACAGGCTGTGTCGTATATACAGGTCCCTCCTGAAACTCGGAAAAGACGACGTCGACATCCACGACATCTCTCTGGACAAGATAGAGTAGAGGAAAGGAGAGCAGAGGCAACAGCCACAAAGACGGACATTGAGGCCTCTGCTCCACAACCTCAAGACACAACCACGACTACCAAGCCAAAGAGGAAATGAGGGGATAGAAAAGTAAATCAATATTCAGATAAGGCATGCTATGTGATAACGAAGGTTGGGCCAGTAGGGGAGATCCTTGAGCCGAAGGAATTCAAAGGACGATTCCGTAATGCGATCGGGGCCCTAGTAAGAGATAAATTGAACCTAACAATCCCTAACTAGAAAGAGGTACTAGAGAAGAAAAAGGATAAACTATGGGATAGGCAACTGAAGCTCAATTTTAGATTTTTGGAGGGTAAGCATGAACTGGTAAAAAATGCTTTCAAGATCATTGGAGAGTCATTCCGACGTTGGAGGTCGGAGCTCAACAAGAAGTATATCCAAAAGGGGTTAACTCCCTTCAACGAGTTTGGCAACATAACTCCTAGTCAATGGGAGGAGCTCGTGGCTCAGAAGACTTCACCGGAGGCATTGGAGCTCAGTGCCCGTAACACCGACCTGGCGAAGAGGAACAAACACCACCATCATTTAGGCCCTGGTGGTTACTATGCCAAGGAAGAGCGGTTTAGGAAGGTGGACGAAGAGGCCATAACTGCTGGGACTATTGATGTAAAGAATTTGAAGGTACGCTCAAGGAATTGGATATTTGCGAGGAGTACAGAATCATCCGGCGGTAATCTTAAGTTTGATAAGCCGGAGACCCAAGAGGCAGTATCAAGGATACTGAAATATGCTGAAGACAAGGAGAAGGGCTCATTCAATCTTTCTAGAGAGAGGGACGAGCTTAGCCTTAGCTTAGGAAACAAGGAGCACACAGGCCGCACTAGGGGGCTAGGGAAAAGGATGACCTGGAAGCACGGATTTGAAGAGGACATGCACATGTATAAGAAACATGGCATAGACCGGGAGACTAATCTTGAGGTCCAAGTGAAGGCTCTAGTTGTGAAGGTATTGGAGAAGCAAGGGGCTGTCTCACAGAGCCACTTAACATTAATGACGCCGCTTAGAGAACGGCATTAGTTGGCAGCCCTCCGAAAGTTCCTAGCAACCAAGGTTCCACTGCAGCCACAACCCCATCGATCGTGACACGGAACCAACTAGTTGCACCTTGGTGTTTTCGGTGGCCCGTGAGAACATTGTGATAGAGGTAGCAACGGGTGTGGCACATCCTTCCGGTGGTTTACACCACAATAATAAGATATCGCCAGACTACACTAGGGTTGAGGTGCATACCATGAAGCCCGAGTTCATGCAGTGGAGGATAGACTACGCAACTCCTGAGGGGCTGGTGTTACTCGGAGACGTAATGGGGCAGTTTATCCTCTAGCACAAACGGGATATTATATTGACTGCTTCTTCGCCGCCTCCCTCTCTCCCAAATTTGGAGCGAGTTGTTGAGGACGGGGAGATATTTTCACCGTCTTGTGACCACCACATTCCTAAAATGCCACATTCGTCCTCGCCTCCTAGCGAGCATGTGCCTGATAAGCCACAACCTTCTCCAACTCGTACCGAGCAAGTGCATAATGAGATGCCATAGTCTTCTTAACAAGCACAGCCGATACATGAACAACGAGTGCCTTCTTAAGAAGGTGATGCACAAGAAGATGAGGACATGCCTGAATGGGAACTTCGAAAGAAGCATCCAATCACCATAAGACCAATTTGTGTTCCGATGAAAGATATCTCGTCGGTGCACAAGTGGTATTTCCATGACCAGTTCAAACCTGAGAACCAAGTTAAAAAAGTCCCATCACGGGCTTCTGAGGAGGCCATCACTAGCAAACTCCACCAAACAGCAAAGCAATATCCAAATGTTGATGCCATCAAATGGTCAAAGGATTGCCCAAAAACATATGAAAGAGGCAAGCCCTTCCTACCAAACCGGGACATCCAGCGCCTACCACTTGGAATGAGAAGGTTCCATGATTGGTACTTGCGTGTTCTCCCAATGAGCATAGACCTCGTACAAGCATGCTTCCCCATCAGCATATTTGGAAGCCCAGCCAAGAAAATTGTCTTTGACTTCAATGACATGCAGACATGCTTTCACCTCAGAGCAATGGAGATGAATCTAATTCGCACGTGGTGCATGTAAGTCATTGTCCTCTCGATATGATATGATTGTAATCTTTGAATTTTGTTGTAACTAACCCACATCGTGATTTATAGAATACAAGTGCATATTGTAAAACAAATGCCAAATGTGAAAGCCGGGTATATAGATCCTCAAGCTATAGCACAAACAAATTTTAATTACCCTAAACAGTGGAAACTAGATGACAAAGAGCTAGCTGCTGGAAAGACCCTTCGAGAGAAAGAGGACATCCGTACAAAGAAACTAAGGCAAGAGTCCCTTAAGATTTCAGCATACATTGCCTTGGCTTTTAAAATTCTCCAATAGCACTCTACTATATAGCTACCATACAACTTCGAGTAAGTTCAACTCTATACTTAAAGATTTGTTCGATATATTTTATTCGATGCAAAAGAGCTTATCTAGTTCTATGATTAAATTCATGCAACAACCACTGGATTTGTATAGGCGTTGATGTCGGGAGGAGCATGGCATGGGTCTTTGATTCAATAGATAGGGACTCGATGACATACAAAGACTTCATATCGATTCTTAAGACGTATACATATCGACAATCCTCATTAACTTATATGTTTGTATACATATTTATAATATTCACTTTTGGATACTAACAAGTTGTATTTGCTAAAATAATTCAAACAGGGCATTTAGGTTCTATGTCACTAAACATCACAGAAGGCATGATCCAGTAAGGAAGGAAAGGCTGGCTATAAAACTACTATGTGCGGTAAGTGTAACTTACTTCTTCAGTACTCCATTACATGTCTGTCAAAAGCATTACTTAATATTTCCATATGCAAAACACACAGTGCCCCAAGCAGAAGCCTGGGAGTGTACATTGTGGATACTATGTATGTTCTATGATGAGTAACACCGGTGCCTACAGGAGACACCCCTTAAGGGTAAGTTTGAACCTCTTCACCCGTAGTATAAAAACTTCGCACATGATAATACTAAATCGAAACTTGTTCTCTTGTAGTGGAAAGAAGAGAAAGAAATAAAAAGAGACCCATATAAGGATGACCAACTCTTAGAGCTCGTCGGCGACCTTTGCAACTTCATATTGGACCAGATTGTACACGTCAAAGGCACCTACCATGACCGAGATTCTGACTTAGGTAGAAATCCTCAGTACAAACTCCTTCGTGAGACTGAAAGGCTAGCTCTAGGCCGTTGATAATAATGTGTATGAAATTTGACATTGATCTTGTAATTGTAGTTTATATTGGTCTTGTATATATTCTTGTGAATTGTACTTATAATTGTAGTTTATATAATACTCTTGGACTTGTACTTTGGAGCAAGGTACGTGTCGGCTAGCTGTGCTCCCTGTCGTGCCCTTCCCTATCTTTTGCTTGCGCTTTCCTTTCCTCTCACGTCGCAAGTGTCGTGCGTGGTCTCGATCGGCGGTGGGTGGGGGTGGGGGGCGAAGGAGATGCCCGCACGCGTGATAGATTGATTGATTAGCCGATCTCGAATTATATATGCATATACATATATATGTTCTGTAAATTTGAATTTGAATTGTAAATTTAAATTTTTTTGATAGAAAAATGTACTGTAGGGACGGTTCTAAATTGAACCGCCCCTACAAACAAATATTATAGGGATAACTGTTACTACAGCCACCCTTATCAAATGCATGATTTACCAGGGGAGCCTGGGTAAACCGTATTTATAAAGTCTCCAGAGCCGCCCCAACCAGATGTAGTAGTGGGCGGCGCGGTGGGCCGAGCAACTAGCGCGGTCGATGTCAATCTCGTACAACTAGTGCCGTCTCGTAATAGACAGCGCAAGCATTGATGGCGATCCATCAATTAGATTAGAAAAATCTATCTTTTCTTTATATAAAATGCATGGTCGGTGTCAATCTTGCTGTCGTGTTCTTCCTGAGCTTTTTTGTTCCATTCATGGTCCTCGGTCCCCGCCAGCGACGAGTTGCGCGCGGTTGGGCCAGGGCGCAATTGACGAATCCGGGGAAGCGAGTCGGCTCCGATGAGATGCTGCCCCGTTGAAAAGAATGGGTTATTTATTTCTCCACGTCACGTGTCAAAAAACTGGAAGTTAATTTTTTTCAAAAAAAAAAAACTGTAAGTTGACAAGATGAAGATGCGCCCCCAACTTTAATCCCCTGTGGTGTACTGGTGTGGGGGTGGTCCGGGTCGTTGGCCTATAAAATGATGATGATGCGGCCAGCCAGCCACACACCACATCACTACAGCAGTAAGCCAGTAATTACCAGCACAGCGGAGAGGCCAGAGCGAACAAGCGACCGCGAGCTCCCATGGCGGGTGCGGGTCTTGTTCCGCAGGCCATTGTTCTCGCCCTCGGCGCCGGGGCGTTGGGCGGGTCCGACGCACTGCGCCTCCTGCTCCAGCTCGCGGGCCGGATCAGCCCCGCCGCGGACCTCGCCATCTGCGTCGCCATCATCAGCCTCCTCACCGCCCCGCTGCTCGGCACCATGCTGCTGGCACGCTTCGTCCTCAAGGCGCGCGCGGGCGCGGGCGGCGGCGCCGTGCCGGCGGCGACGGACCTCTTCGCCCAGGTGACCGCGATGGTCTCCGTCGGCGCCGCCTTCGTCGTGACCGCGTGCCTCCTCGTCGTGCCCGGCGGGGCGCCGTCCGCCTCCCGATCGACTTCGCCGTCGAGAACCCGGTCGTGGTCACCGTTCTCGCCATGTGCGCCGCCTTCGCCGCCGCCGCCGTGGCTCTGCGGGCCCGCCGCTTCTTCCGCGTGGCGGGTCGCAATCGTCACGGTCGCGGGCACCATGCTTCTTGTCCGGTGCTCACGCAGGGCGCGTAATACCGCCGGCGCCGGTGGTGGCGCCGCTGCCCGTACAAGCTGACGCCCGTGGCGTCGCCATCGTCGTTACCCTCTCCTGTCTCCTTGTCGGTATCGCGTAGTATAGTACTAGTAGAGATAGTTAACAAACTGTATAACAAAGATAGAGAGTGTGTGAAAAGAAAAGTGAAATAAAAAAGAACAGTAAAGAAGCATAAACATAAATAGCTACAGCCATCCAAGGCCTGTAACTATCAGATACTATTCAGGGTCCTCTCTTGCACTTGGGCTTCACTTTTGGTTTTCCACTTTTGTTAATTGTCACGGTCTCGCGAGACGCGAGATACTGTAACTTCAATGGAAACAGTACACCTACAGCACCTTATTGTGCGTTTCGGTATTGCTATTAATTTCGGTACATGCCACCAGGTGCTTATCCCTGTTGATCGTTATCATGACTCGAAAGTTTTCTGCGAAACCTGGTGGCATGTAATCTTTTGTATAATAAAAGTTTTCTGCGAAAACCGGTGGCAAGTAATCTTTTGTATAATAAAAGTTTAATGTGCCTATGTGAGAGGTTCCTTACACATGCCCGCCGCTACGAACGCCGCCATTCACAACACATCACAAATAGCCACGACACCGAGGTCCACCACGTCATCGACGCCATCTGCACCCATCTGCACCTGGGCGTCGTGGATCTTCAGGTCGTGCACTAAACCGAGCAGTATCTTGTGATCTTCAGCGACCCTCGCAACATGCAGAGAGCGGTCAGGCAGCGCTACATCGTCAGCAGCGGCCGCACCTCCAACTTCTCGTCATGGGACGAGACCAGAGAAGCCGTCGACGCCCACATGGAGTTCCGGGCCTATGTGCGCATCGAGGGGATCCCTCTACACGCATGGGGCCTGGAGGTTGATGAGAAGGTGTTGGGCAAGGAATGTGCCATCCACCACGTGGAGGAGCACACCAGGCGCAAGGAGAGGACTAGGACGTTCGACCTCTGGACTTGGTGCTCGGACCCCTGCAAGATCCCGACTGAGGTTTGGCTCACCATTGCTGATCCTGATGTAGAGCAGCCGCCCGTGGACATCCCACAGGCTCCAGTCCACCGTGACCCTCCCACCAACATCAAGCATGGACTGACATACCGCATCCTACCGCACGTGGCGACTGTTGAGGACCTCTCCTTCATCAGGGGCAATGGAGGCCCTGGTGGACCGCCTAACCGCAAGCGTCGTCGGAACTTCGATTGGAGCTACAGCGTCCCTAACATCTTGGGAGAGGCACGCGAACGTCAGCATGAGGGCCGTGGTCGTGAGGCCATGGACATCACAAGAGGGATGATTATGATGAAGACCGCATAGGTCATCACCGTTGTCACAGGAGTGCTTCAGCTTGGGGAAGGATCACCCGCTGTCGTACTGGACTTGCGGAGTGCTACAGCTCGAACTTCAGGGGAGCTGGGGGCTCCTTTCATGCTGGGGGATCTCATAGGTCGAGGGCCTGGATGCCTGAACCAATGAAGCTTGTCTACAAGGTCAAAGTGGCGCCAACACCTCTACCAAATAGTAAGATCATAAAAGCGAGTTACTTTTGCAGACCCTCTGTTCTCTTTCTGTGAGGATCCCCTGCCGCAGCTTGACGTTAACTGTGAGTAGGCCACCGTCCCTAACACTTCTCTGATGATTTTTGTGTCCCCCTTGTGTTTTGATCCGATGCTTGATGAAGCAATGCTGGTCTGGCCTGTTACAGGGGACAACAAGGAAGGAGTCGAGACCAGGGCTGTCAAGAAGGCGCCAGCGCATGCTGATCCAACATGTCAGAAAGAGAAGAATAAGGAAAACGGGCTGAACATGATGCTGGTGAAGGTCCACAACAACACTACAAACAACACTAATGTAAGCATCAGCCTAAATTTTTCATATCATGAATCTAGTAGCCCTTGTAGGACTGGAATGAATGTTAGTCTATCACAACCGAGTAGTGTACATGAATTACATAGCCAAGACAGTTCTAGTCTTGAAGAACCAGTGGAGGGGAGTGCGATCAAGGTTTTTTGCTTAGAGTTTGCTATCGGTCCTGAACAGACAAATTGCCCAGCTGACCAAGTTGGAGGATCTATTGACAATGTTCAACGCACAGCAACGAAAATTGGTCTAGATAACCAGGAGGGTGTAGTAGTGGGCTGGTACAACAACCATCGTTAGTGGCCGGGGGTACTAATGAGCCTGCTCAGCAATCTGATTTAGCTGTTATCACCATGCTAACTCCACAGAATGCCAACCTAGATCAGGTACAGCCGTCGGAAAGTACAGAGCGGGAAGCTCAGCTCCGCTCGGCGGACATCCAGGGTTCTGACCCGATGGATGAGTTTTCAGAGAATATCACACACCACTTAGAACAACCCCTTCTTCCTACGCCATCAATTGTCTTTGAACCAGAACAGTTAGATATGGCTACAGATATTGATTATACACAAAGGAAGGGTAGTCGGTTAGCTGATAAGGCAAAAACTATAGTTGGCAAGGATTCTATGAAGTTAGCTCAGGAACTTCTTTCAAAAAAATTGGGAGAACTAACAACAGAACAACCCAGCAGCAATGAAGCTAACTTTGATATTTTTCATAGCACTTTGTCAAGCCAATCAACATGGTAGAGATGGAGGCCCTTCAGGTCTTGGTGGAGCATGGGACCAAGCTGGAGAAGGCCGGTAAGAACAAAGGAGCAGCAAGGCAGATGGAGGAGGCCTGAGGCGTGTGGCCTCGGGAGCAGTGGGTCTGTTTCTGAATGATAGACCCAACTGTCAAATAGTTGTTACGACAACAGTTGGTTTGGAGCAATCATCAGTTGGATCGGGCCCTACGTGGCCGAAATGGGACACTAATGTCCGTGTATCGTAATCATCTAGGATGCTTGTTGCCTGCTGGCCATGTAGCCTTCAGCAAGAACTACGTATGCTGAATCGTTCCCTTAGAATGCTTGTTGCCTGCTGGCCATGTAGCCTTCAACAAAGACTCAAGATGTTGGATGAATCTGGGGATGGATTATTGTGGCCTGCTGGCTTTGTTGCCTTCGGTCAGCCCCGATGGATGTATGTTCAAGAACTTATCGAGCTGAAAACTCGGTCTCTAGTTGAATGTCAGGTTTAAATGTCACAAAAGACTGCAATTTTATGTTAGAATGTGAGAGGGCTCAATGATGGGGCAAAGAGAGCGAGTGTGCGAAATCTGATTATGTCTTCAGGTGCTACGGTGGTTTGTCTTCAAGAAACAAAAATTGAGAATTGGAATTAACAATTACTCAATGAAACGTTAGGTCCGGATCTAGTCACAAACTGTACTTTTTTGCCATCAAGTGGGGCCTCGGGGGGCATACTCATAGCCGCATCTGAGAGATTTTTAAAGTTACTCCCAATGCATATAACTGAACATACTGTCTCTGGCAGAATCACCATGCTTGAGGAAAACATTTCCTGGTGCATAACGGGGGTGTATGGTCCACGAACTGATCGAGAGAAGATTGTCATCATGCAAGAGATATCAGACCTGAAACACCATATGGATGAGCAGTGGCTACTATTGGGAGACTTCAATTTAATCTATAGGGTGGAAGACAAAACAATCAAAGAGTAAACATAAATATGCTGAACAGATTCAGAGACACCATTGACAATCTTTAGCTAGTGCCACTTCAGTTGTTTGGGAGGCGATTTACATGGTGTAATGAACAGCAAAATCCAACGATGACAAAGATTGATCATTTTTTAGCGACGCTGGAATGGCTAGAAATCTTCCCAAGGATGGATCTACAGGCATTGGCATCTTTAGGCTCGGACCACTGCCCCCTTTTCCACCAAGGAGATACGTCTCTTGAATTTTACCGCTGGTTTCGTTTCGAAACGCACTGGGTCAACATGCCAGGTTTTATGGACATAGTTGCAACGACATGGGAGCAACCGGTTAACACTCAAAACGCCTTGTTACGCATGCACGTCAAACTCATGCGAACTGCAAGGGCTCTGAAGATCTGGAGACGGTCTATTTTTAGTAAATGGAAATTGAAGTCGGCAATCCTTCAAATAATCCTGCTAGACTTAGAAATGGCACAAGAGAGAAGGTTATTAACACCAGAGGAGCAAGAATTTAAGAGGTACCTCAAAGCAAAATATGTGGGGATGGCGGCTGTACAAAAGGCAAGAGCCAAACAACATTCAAGACTCAAGTGGATTCAGGAAGGGGACGCCAATACTAGATTATTCCACATTTACGCGAATGTGCGAAGAAAGAAGTCCTTTGTCAGTGCTTTGCACAATGACGAAGGAGTGGCGACAACTCAGCAAGACAAAATGAGAGTTGCGACGGAATTCTTTACTAAAGCGGTGGGAACAAATTCGGCAAGACCACGTAGGCTAAATTGGGCAGCATTGGGATACTCTCCTTTCAATCTAGAAGACTTGGATATGCCATTCATGGAACAAAAACTATTTGGTACAATTAAGTCCCTACCGTCAGAGAAGGCCCCAGGGCCAGATGGGTTCATCAGTATTTTTTACAAGGAATGCTGGGGGGTTATCAAGGATGATCTCTTTGAAGCGGTCATGGGATTCTATAATCATAAGACATCCAAAATGCACTTGTTCAACGAAGCAAACATCGTACTGCTACCCAAAACTCAGGAACCGACTACAATGGCGGACTATAGGCCCATTAGTTTAATTAACAGTATTACCAAAATTATCACAAAATTGCTTGCAACCAGATTGGCACCGCATATGAATCAGTTAGTCTCGCAAGCACAAAATGCATTTATAAAGAAACGATGTATCCATGACAATTTCCTATTTGTGCAAAGAGTGACCCAGATGCTCCACAAGAAAAAACAGCAGGCTCTATTTATCAAATTAGACATCTCCAAAGCTTTTGACAGTGTTGGTTGCCAGTATCTGTTGGAGGTGCTAACTGCACTGGGGTTCAGTACCAAGTGGCGCAATTGGATATCCTCAATCCTTGGAACATCATCTTCAAGAATCATTATCAATGGAAGAACGACTCAAAACATCAAGCATGCAAAAGGATTGAGATAGGGTGATCCTCTGTATCCGTTGCTCTTCATCATTGCAATTGATCCGCTGCAGGGAATAATTGATCAAGCGGCTACATAGGGCCTATTGCAACCGGTGCTGCCAACCAAGGCGAATCTACGATGCTGCACTTTTTGCACATCCATCACCGGTAGAAATAGATAGGCTGTACAAAATTTTGTTGCTATTTGGGGAGTGCTCAGGGCTGAAAGTGAACATGAACAAAACAGAGATTTTCCCAATCCGGCTACAACCTGAAATAGTGAACAATATTGTGCGAAATTTCCTAGGAAAAATAAGTACGTTCCCTGGGAGATACCTGGGGCTACCACTACACACTAGAAAGTTAAGAAAGATAGAGGTTCAACCGTTGGTGGATAAAATTGGTGCAAGGCTATCCGGTTGGAAAGGGAAATTTCTCTCATCAGCTGGAAGAGAAACCTTGGTGAAAACCGTCCTGTCAAGTTTGCCAATATATCATTTAACTGTATTCTAAGCGCAAAAATGGTTGATTAAGAAAATAGATCGCATTGGAAGAAGTTTCCTATGGAGAGGGGAAACCCCGGACAGGACCAGCGGAGGACACTCACTAATAAATTGGCCCACAACATGCTTGCCCAAGAACAAGGGTGGATTGGGGACATTGGACATGGACAGGTTTACTAGAGCTCTTAGGCTCTAGTGGATGTTGTTTCAATGGAAGCAGAAAAATAGAGCGTGCACTAATTTGGAAGTTCCTTGTGATAGAGTGGATCAAGAACTGTTCTATGCTTCTACCATTGTTACCGTTGGCGATGGCAAGATGGCCCCTTTCTGGACGTCTTGTTGGATAAATGGGAACATGGCAAAACCAATAGCGCCGTTGCTGTATGCAAAGTCAAGAAGAAAGAAGATAACCGTCCACCAAGCACTGAAGAATGAAAAATGGATCGATCATATTTATCCGCCCGCAACGAGTGAGGAAGTAACACAATTTGTCAGGCTTTGGGAGGCAATAAGGGAAGTTGCTCAGAATGAAACAGTCGAAGACACTATAACCTGGAGATGGACGATGGATGGAGAATACACTACAAAGAGTGCTTATCAGATTCAATTTACTGGAGTCTTAAGTAAGCTGAAATTGACATCGATATGGAAGGCTAAAGCAGAACAGAAATGCCGTTTTTTTTGCGTGGACATTGTTGCATAAGAAAATACTTACAGCAAATAATCTCTTTAAAAGAGGTTGGATTGATAACATGGAGTGCAAGCTATGTTTAGGTGATCAAGAAACTCCAGTGCACCTGTGCAAAGACTGCCCTTTCACAAAGGAGGTTTGGGGTGTTAATACTTGTAGGATCGTCTAGGAGTAGATCTGGGGTGTTAAACATTTACTGGATGAATCAAAGACCTAGAACACGTTCTAGACAGAGAGACAGAGACAGAGAGAGGATAGAGGAAGAACGTGTCGAACCTAACACCACAGGGGGATGATCCAGAAGCCACCATCACGTTCGTCGATGAAGTCTGCGCACAGGTAGCGACGGTCGGTGAAGACGGTTGGTGGCGCAGTGCAGTGGTGGCAGCGACATAGTCCGATGGCGGCGCGGCTGGTGGCTTCCCGTCACTGGCTGCGCACCCTCTAGATCTGATTAGGGTTTATGTTTTGGTGGGGAGCTCGGCTTAGGCAAACCTCGTGACTTGAGCCACCGGCCCCCACCTCTATTTATTGCGCAGTGTGACAGGGGCCCTCCAGCCATAGTGGGTTGGGCGCCCCCGATCAAGGCGTAGATCAAAGGCCCAAGTGGACAGTTGGCCCCAGTTTGGGATTAGAGATCAATCTAACAATCTCTCCCTTGATCTTCTACTATCTTTCAATTTCATATCATTTACTTTTGTTCATTCCATTACAGATTAATGCATAGAGCATGTTTCATCGTCACAGTCAATTGCCGATAGATTTAACAGCTACAACACACCACTATGTTCTAAAATAGATACTTAACTTTGTGCCTTCTTTTGTCTAGGAATTATAGGTTTTCCCTTAAACCCATGCTGGCTACATGTTCTCTGAACATGTTGGGTGGTAAGCCTTTTGTAAGCGGATCCACGAGCATCTTTTCGGTACTTATATGCTCAAGACTTATGATATAATCCCGGACTTTATCTTTCACAACATAATACTTTATGTCAATGTGTTTGGCAGCACCACTTGACTTATTGTTGTGAGCATACTGTACTGCCGGATTATTATCGCAGTATAACTTAAGTGGTTTATAGATGTCGTCAACCACCTTCAAACCGGGTATGAACTTCTTTAGCCAGTTCACCTGCCCCGTTGCCTCATAACACGCTACAAACTCGACATACATTGTGGACGATGTAGTGATGGTTTGCTTTGAGCTTTTCCATGAAATAGCCCCCCCTGCGAGAGTGAATACATATCCAGACGTGGATTTTCTATCATCTCCCGCATAATCAGAATATGAATATCCCACTATATGGAGTGAATCTAATCTCCTATACGTCATCATGAGGCCTTTTGTTCCTTGCAAATAACATAAGACTTTTTTTACTAATTTCCAGTGTTCTGTTCC